GACCTCATATGGCAGACCGGGATTTAAATATTAGTTTAATTGTAGATACATAATAACTCTTACCGCATGCTATTTCTCAGCGTTTTGACGCTTGATAATATATATTACTTAACCACAAAACATATAGCTGTATGCCCCGAATATATAAGTTTTAGATATATAACACTAATGCTATTTCATATAGTATCAGATTTTTTACTCCTCTAGGAGCTAAATTAAAGGAATCACTTGACAATAACAGCAAAATGCTAGAGCTGTACTTATAAAACTCCAGACAACAACATATTCTCTTGTGTATAGCCCTAACTGTTGTATCATAAACGTGGGGGACGCTAAAAAATGCGTAGTCATCAAGTTTCGCCCGATCGTGTTTAAGCTCGCCCGCGTGACGTCATTGCATATAATTATGACGTATGTTAATGAGTGACGTCACTACGCACCCTCATTCCTCCTCACTCCTCCTCCTCACTCCTCCACACTCCACCGCCGCACTCCACCGCCGCAAAAATAAGGCCCGAACGGCCTCTATATTACTACTTGTGTACAAAACTTCTGGAACACTGTCATTAAAATATCTAATTAAGAGGCTTAAGGATAATGGTGATCCTGGGTCTATAAATCAGGCTTGAAAAACACTAGGGGTTTTACGATCTACAAAAATCATGGATGGGTGGGTGCGCCGTTCATCCTACCCAATTATCCTCTGGAAAGAAACTGAGCAAGCTTTACTAATATTTAATTCTACGTTTGTTCTGTTGTATGTCAAATCGTGGTTCTATATAAGTCAGTACAAAGTTTTATATTAGTCCATGTTCGTCGTGAAAATATCTGATCTCTCCATAAGAACATACACTGTAAAAACTGATAGGTTAAAATAACCTATTTGTAAAGGTTGTCACTTATATAAATAGGTTGTTTTAACCAATTGAATAGGTTATAACCACAATAAATAGGTTAAAATAACCAATTATTTTTTGGTTGATCTCGAACATTTCGGTACAACTAATATAAATAGGTTAATTTAACCAATTGACCAAAGTAAATAGGTTAAAATAACCAATTATTTTTTGGTTAATCTTGAACAATACAACTAATATAAAAACAAGTGAAAGAAACTCTAAAGATCGATAACATTTTTATATTTATCAATGGAGTTTCATTTGTTTTGTATTTTGTAAAATACTCAGTAGTTCTAAAAATTATTGTAGTTTAATAGGTTGTTATCTTGGGTGTTTAGCCGATACTGATAACAATAGCCAGGTTGTTTTAAATATTTTTATAATACTCATTCATAATACATAAACTTTGTACGTGACAAATAATGTCAACCATTAATGAGTTAAATTATAAGCCAATAATAATTGCTCAAAAGACAAAACAGTTATAGGCAATTATAGGCAATATTAATTCAGTACGTCATAATCTTTGTTAATAAAATTAGAAAATGCATCTTATTTTTTACATATTTATACTGATAGTATACTATATACAACACTGTACAGATCTAACATTGAATTGTTTATCACAGTCATTTCAACATATAGTATGCATTCATGCAGGAACCACACCACCATAAATCATCTTTTAATCTCCACGACTCCACATATTTTGGGGGTGGGTGGGTAGGCTGGCTATTTATGGGAATGAATAGTGAAAAGAGGTGGGGTTTTAGCAATTGACATGAATATACAGTTATACTACAACTTTAATAGTTGGTCTGTCATAAAGTCATAAACTGAGTTTATAGTGATCTAATATATTTTCAGCAAAATGTCCTGGGGAGGGCATGTGGGGAGATCTAGTCTCCAGATTGTTATCTTGGGTGTTTAGCCAATACTAATAACAATAGCCAGGTTGTTTTAAATATTTTTATAAATATATTAATTCATAATACATAAACTTTGTACGTGGCATATAATGTCAACCATTAATGAGTTAAATTATAAGCCAATAGTAATTGCTCAAAAGACAAAACAGTTATAGGCAATTATAGGCAATATTAATTCAGTACGTCATAATCTTTGTTAATAAAATTAGAAAATGCATCTTATTTTTTACATATTTATACTGATAGTATACTATATACAACACTGTACAGATCTAACATTGAATTGTTTATCACAGTCATTTCAACATGTAGTATGCATTCATGCAGGAACCACACCCCCATAAATCGTCTTTTAATCTCCACGACTCCACATATTGTGGGGGGTGGGGGGTAGGCTGGCTATTTATGGGAATGAATAGTGAAAAGAGGTGGGGTTTTAGCAATTGACATGAATATACAGTTATACTACAACTTTAATAGTTGGTCTGTCATAAAGTCATAAACTGAGTTTATAGTGATCTAATATATTTTCAGCAAAATGTCCTGGGAAGGGCATGTGGGGAGGTCTAGTCTCCAGATTGTTATTTTGGGTGTTTAGCCGATACTGATAACAATAGCCAGGTTGTTTTAAATATTTTTATAATACTCATTCATAATACATAAACTTTGTAGGCTACGTGGCAAATAATGTCAACCATTAATGAGTTAAATTATAAGCCAATAATAATTGCTCAAAAGACAAAACAGTTATAGGCAATTATAGGCAATATTAATTCAGTACGTCATAATCTTTGTTAATAAAATTAGAAAATGCATCTTATTTTTTACATATTTATACTGATAGTATACTATATACAACACTGTACAGATCTAACATTGAATTGTTTATCACAGTCATTTCAACATATAGTATGCATTCATGCAGGAACCACACCACCATAAATCATCTTTTAATCTCCACGACTCCACATATTTTGGGGGTGGGTGGGTAGGCTGGCTATTTATGGGAATGAATAGTGAAAAGAGGTGGGGTTTTAGCAATTGACATGAATATACAGTTATACTACAACTTTAATAGTTGGTCTGTCATAAAGTCATAAACTGAGTTTATAGTGATCTAATATATTTTCAGCAAAATGTCCTGGGGAGGGCATGTGGGGAGGTCTAGTCTCCAGAACTAAAATATTTAAAATATGTATGTACCTTATATTGCGTCGTAAATTCTTTAATTATTGGCATGCAATGAAGATATAACAAGACAGCTAGAATTTTGAAGATGCAATTAAGAATTTCTGTCAAAAAAACAGAGATACAGGATTATTTGCACTGGATTGTTCACATTATTGAGATCAGTGCGTTCAGTCAATCGCGTTGCCAAATATGGGCTCCCATAAGGCTTAGCGAGCACACTCCGAGCGCGTCCTTTGGAAATTTTATTTTAAAGTCGGTTGATATAGCCAAGATTTCTTAACATATTGAAGAAAATAAGAAGTAATACTCCAATTTTCGAAGATAAAGACAATAATTTTAAATGTAAGTGTTCAACTATGTCAATATTTTTAAGTTTCGTGTGTAAATATGTGCCATAAATAGTAATATATTCATGTATATTTTAACCGCCGTGCGTTGGCCGCATGTATATTTGTGTGAAAGATTCAACAATATATATTTGTTAATAAAACTTAGTGATATTGCCTTGTATATTTACAGATTATATTTTCAAGCAATTAATAATGCCACAATATGTGATCTAAGCAAGTCGAACTGTCGAAAACATGATATATACAGGCTACAAGAAGGTATGAAATATACAGTAGAATCAGTAGATAGAACAAAGGTAGGATTGTTCTCTCATACAAAGCTAGACTGCTAGAGAACTTGCTTTGGCGATTATATCAATATTAGCTAAGTGAGTCAATATAGATACCCTCTCAATACGTTAACAATGTAAATATTATATTGTTAATGTATTGTCAGTATTGAGAAGGTATCAATACAGTATATTGACTCATTTAGCTAAATTATATTGATTGAAGTTCTATGGCTTTCAGGCTTAATAGGAGAACTATCCTTCCTTTGTATTATCTATATTGTGCTATCACAGTAAATAGCTATATCTATATTTAATATCCAGACAATCCCTGACTGTTGCTGAATACATTGAGGATACATTTTTGAGTTTTTCATAGTTTATATGCAGGGTTCTCCACAGTTGTGAATGGAACAGGTAAAACAGGCTTTTCAACAGGTATAAGCATCAAGTCGCACCTACAAACCTCCAGGGGCAGTGCCGTAGCTAGCATTTATAGTTGGGGGGGTGTAGGCCAAAAATTTCCGAATGACGAAGAAAATTTCCGAACATTCGAAAATTTTTGGCGACCCCCCCCCACCCGTCGCCAAAAAAATTTCGGTCAGTGTACCATTTTAAGGGTCAAAAATTTTTTCCGGACATGCCAAAAGTGAGATATTAGCTAAAAATTGCCTGAATCTCATGATTTTCGTACAAAAACCATATACTATTATTGCCGTAATTTTCCGAATGACCAACCCATTTTCCGAATATGTCAAAAGTTGGGGGGGTTAACCACCCCCCCAATACCCCCCCTCGCTACGGCCCTGTCCAGGGGGTTCCCAAATGAGGAAAAAATATTCCGGACGACAACATTTTAAATCTCCCATCCCCCCGTCAACAACTTTTTAGGTAAAAAATTTTTCCCCACAATAACATTACAATTGCTTTTGTAGCACTTTTTCCCGTTTTTCGTAGCACTTTTTCCGATGAACATGGCAATATTTGCATAACGGGACTAAATCGTCGGGTTGACTACGCCACCATTGTTGCACACTGTATTACTAATTATTTCTTAACAAATGTACACAAACTCTAGGCTTCTCCAGGCGGTAATCAGTGGTCGTGGAAACGGTAAATTTTACCGGTTACCGCCTGATAAGGAGAACCCTGTATATGCCTCTGAGAAATCCCAGGCTCACATTTTATGCATGAAGAAACTGTTTAACATTATACATGGAGAGTTTCCAGCCCAGGCTGAGTTTCAGCCTGGTTAAACGAGCTGAAATTGCATCACGATAATTTGCATGAGCAGTTTGAGCTCGGTCTGAGTTTAGTCAGAGCTACAGTATACCGTAAACCTCCGACTATAAGCCAGGGCGCGAAATAACGGCTGGAGGGTCGGCGGTCAAGGTGACCGGCCAACTCAATTTTAGCTCGGACATGCCGAATTTCTGGCCGGTCAAATTATTCAGCTTAAAGCAAAGCCTAGTAAAGTATACCCCTAAAAATGTGACCATTTTCCCAGTATAGCAGTACAAAAGCCTTACTGTAATCAGTAATTAAAAACTCCTTCACATAAAACAGCTTGTACTGGGCTAAAAGCATGGTCTTAGGGCTTAAGCCAAAGCCCATGGGCTTTGTGACGTACTGCGTGCGAAAACTGGTGTACATTGAAGTTGTTTTCCTGCAAAATATTCGACAACATGCATGTTATGGTTCTTAATTATAATACTGTACTTGACCACTTTAATTTGATTATTAATTCAAATAAAGATTAGTTTCTTCTCTTACCGAAAGTGACCGGTCAAAATGACCGGCAAGTCAAGAATTTGACCGGACAACTCCGCATTCTGGCCGGACATTGTCCGTTGACCGGCCGTTATTTCGCGCCCTGTAAGCCCCTCTGAATATAAGCCCCCATGTATAAGCCCAGGTGTGCCACATGTACTAACGCTTACCTCAATCCAAATGTAAGCCCCCCCCCGTATATAATTCCCCCAAATATAAGTCCCCTAATTAATATAAACCTAAATAATATAAATAATATGTCTGACTTGTTTATTACTAACACAAAATATCGTCCATGTATAAGCACCCCCGTATATAAGCCCCCCCCCTTGTATAAGCCCATCAAAAATCGCTTATGAAAGTATATAAGCTCTGGGCTTATAGTCGGAGGTTTACAGTAGAGTGCAGCGAAATAGGAGAATAATAATCTATTATGAGAATAAGCCTGTTACACTTCTTTGAAGCATTAAGATGCTGATTAGTCGACTATTTGACTTTTGTGAGTCTGTTGATTACATGTATAGTATATTTAAAGATGAAACAAACACTCAAAATAAAGCCATTTAAACAGTTGGTTTTTTAGCCCGGGCTGGAATTATTTGTGATTACATGCTGCAGGGCTGAAATTTCAGCCTGGGCAGCTCAAACGTGGCTGAATAATCATGTAATAACCACTTGCTATGTTTTAATAGGATTTTATCCTTGGGCCAGGCTGAAACTTAGCCCTGGTTGAAAACTCTCCATGTAATTAGCCCTATAGGGGCCACGTCCATATTCATGTTGCCACCAATAACGTCAAATCGGAAGTCAAAATACGACTGAATATCGATCAACATTATCTGGAGTGGGTGGGTGCCATGGATGAAGTGATAACATTGATTCAATGTTATTTGTGGCAACATGCAGTGTGCACACTGTCAATATTTTTGCATTCAGCTTAGTACTACACACATAAAAATTGAGAAAATCAACAACTTGTTCCAGGTTGATATCAGCAGGCGTGAACAAGGTTGTGCGGCCCACTATGAACAGTATTGTCAACATGTTGTTACAGCATTGTTCAACTTGGAACAACATGGTTGACAACTTGTTCATAGTTGGCCGCACAACATTGTTCATGCCTGTCGATATCAACTTGGAACAACCTGTGCGTTTTTAGTCGTGTAGGGCGTTCAAATTCTAACAATATGGTACATTATTTCAATACTTTTGGGGTTTTTTCGGGATACCATGTAGAGCTCAGCTCAGAGCACCTGTCTTTATTGCTATATATAAGAGATATTTACATATTTTTCCTCTGAAAATGTTTCATGGCACTGATAACATGGCATAATTCCATAATGTACCTGTGCTTGGACAAAAGTTTGAAATGAAATATGTATCATGTCCGGACCAGGCATTGAGATAATCTTACTTTCCAGTATATTGGCAGATACCAGATTTGTCCTTTCAACTTTGTGAGCAAGGCTTTGGCAATACAATGTTTAGAGTGAAGTTTTTTCGTATGATTTCAAGTATCTTTTCAAATCAAAGTATTATAAACACCCTCATTTTATAACCAATTAAAATAATTATTTATCTTAAATGAAAGTATAAATCTTATATCAACAGTATCAGTTATTTGGCCTGATATCGTCCAACATATCTGACATACTGACATCTAGCCGAATAGCAAAAGGTTCTATCTTGTGGCCCGTGCAGCCCTAGAAATGACAAGGTGCCCAATTGTGACCAATTGTTTTATACCAGGTATTTCTCAGAGGTAGCCCTCGTTGTGACTGAGAAGAAAATTTAAAAAAGACTAGTGTATAAACTGTATAACTTAAAAATAATGAGTTAGCTATTTAAGGTTTTTGTGTAATAGTAGGATTATCTACGAATTAACTTGGACTGTAGAATAATCCCAATTTTTATTTTGTAGCCAATTACTCACCACAGAAAATTACAAATTGGCACAGCAAGGCATGTTCAAGGGAAAACCTGGCATTGTGTACACAGATCCTGAGAGATACCGTACAGCAAGAACTGGTTTAATTTATGGGCTTCAGTTACTTCACATTGTAAGTCATTGTGCACAACTTTATAATAGTATGTGTTAATATTTCTCTGCCATTACAATATAGTGATGTGACTGTGTTCTTATTCGACTGTGTTAACCCATTGAGTTGCATTGTGCCCTACTTTATTATTTTACTTTGTCTAACACCAGACTATTTTACTCGTTAATGGGTATAACTGTCCTATCCACCCATGTGTCTAGTTAACCCATCGAGTTGCATCGTGCCGTGATGCATACCTGTAGATTTTATTTTTGTGGAGGTAGCCAATCTTTAAATGGAGCTAGACTATGCCACATTCTCGTACCCAGAGCCCGCCTTACACACGATCAACAAAGCATGACAAGGACGCGGTGTACGAGAATGGGTTTGCCTCAACAGTCAACTGCAGATCAAAATTTAGCCTCTGAACGAGAACAAAATGCCAAGTGTGTCAATGTCATGTTTATGCGCATATTGTGGGTATTTCAGTCTTATTTAATACAGCGGAATATAGAAGTGCATTCTGAGAGTTCTTGCAGTTATTCCAGTTAGTCAGTAACTCCTGGCTTAGGTAACAAGCTCCAAATTATTTTTGGAGTTAGCAACACAGCAAGTAACTTCAACCTTACATGTATGTTTCTAGCGGCTATAGGCTGACTCGCCTCGCTATACACATACTTTTTGGAGTTAGGCGTAACTCAAGGCTTAAATACCTTGTTTTTTCATGATTTTTGGAGTTATACGTAGCTCTAAATGATTATTGGAGTTAGCCAGTAACTCCAGGCTTAGATGCCTAGCTCCTAAATTATTTTTGCAGTTGTATACTTAGCTCCAAATGATTTTTGGAGTTAGCCAGTAACTCCAGAATTCATATTTCAACTCAGTCTTGAATTACACAAGTTACTCAAGTGTATATTTTGGTTTGGAGTTAGCCCTTTAGACTTTGGAGGTAGCGTCGCTCCATAACTTCCTACTTTCTACAGGCATGCCGTGATGCACCCTATTTTAATGATTATGCTACTCTGTCTAACGCAAGATTATTTCACTATGTCTAATAGACTAATACTAGATTGATTACAGTGATTACAGTTTTTGAAGAAAGAATTGTTTAGTATCCGTACATGGATTAAACCATTAACGTATATTAAGATACTTAATCTATATAAAACCTTAATCTATATGTGTATTATAGAATTAGAACTTAACTATATATGTGTATTTTAATCTGTATAGAAATTTATTCTATGTTTGATCTTTTTGTAGAGTTAGAAAACCGTTGTATCATGGCAGCTTTGACGTATGTCCTTGAGAACATTCCTTTAATTAAAGTTGTTCTTGTAAGTGAATTTTGTATATTTTATAACATCTAGATAGAATGTTTGTGATGTTACTCTGAGTGTGAATCCACTCCGGGCAAGCTGAAAAGTTAGCTTGGCCACGGTGGGAATCGAACCTGCGATCTTTGGGATACTAGTCCAATGCTCTGCCAAATGAGCTACATGGTCAAGTCATACCTGTAGATTTTATTTTTGTGGAGGTAGCCAATCTTTAAATGGAGCTAGACTATGCCACATTCTCGTACCCAGAGCCCGCCTTACACACGATCAACAAAGCATGACAAGGACGCGGTGTACGAGAATGGGTTTGCCTCAACAGTCAACTGCAGATCAAAATTTAGCCTCTGAACGAGAACAAAATGCCAAGTGTGTCAATGTCATGTTTATGCGCATATTGTGGGTATTTCAGTCTTATTTAATACGGCAGAATATAGAAGTGCATTCTGAGAGTTCTTGCAGTTATTCCAGTTAGTCAGTAACTCCTGGCTTAGATAACAAGCTCCAAATTATTTTTGGAGTTAGCAACACAGCAAGTAACTTCAACCTTACATGTATGTTTCTAGCGGCTATAGGCTGACTTGCCTCGCTATACACATACTTTTTGGAGTTAGGCGTAACTCAAGGCTTAAATACCTTGTTTTTTCATGATTTTTGGAGTTATACGTAGCTCTAAATGATTATTGGAGTTAGCCAGTAACTCCAGGCTTAGATGCCTAGCTCCTAAATTATTTTTGCAGTTGTATACTTAGCTCCAAATGATTTTTGGAGTTAGCCAGTAACTCCAGAATTCACATTTCAACTCAGTCTTGAATTACACAAGTTACTCAAGTGTATATTTTGGTTTGGAGTTAGCCCTTTAGACTTTGGAGGTAGCGTCGCTCCATAACTTCCTACTTTCTACAGGCATGGCCGTCAAGTCGGTTCGAGTTGATGATATTTCGGAACTGAGTCTAGTTCCTTCTATATCAGTGTATTCTATATGATTATTTTTTATGTGTGTTGGTGTTATGTACTTGATATTATGTACTCATGTGATGTACTCAGTATGACTAGGTTACCCATAGGGTAGGGAATGCTGCCTGAGCGCAAGCTGTAGTCATCGAAAATATTATGACGCAAAAACGTCGTCAATAAAAACAAATTGATGGGAAGAATCACTTTACCAGATTATAGTAATATCTTTTATTGCAACTACATTCCCATTTAATTTCAAAAGATTTAATATTTATATGCTCATGTTAGCATGATTTTAGTCAGATTTGAGATTTGGTTGAAACCTCAAACAATCCAAACATACCTTAGAAACATGAAGTGTGCATTTTTTGAAAACAGAAAAAATTGGTGGGAAGAATCACTTTACCAGATTATAGTAATATCTTTTATTGCAACTACATCATTCCCATTTGATTTCAAAATGACTTTGGAAGTGACAATGACTTCTGAGTCTAAATAATATGTTTCTCCATTATAGTCCAAGTCAATTATCTGCATTTTAGGCCCTTAATTATTATATGGAGGCGA